GCAACTGGGTGTATCGGCAATTTATTACTAAGCTAATTTACTACTAGGCCAATTTACTACTATCAAATACGACATTGTCAGTATTAAACAGCCGAGAAAAGTATAAAACTTAATATGAATTTCCTTTACACTTGCATACAACTTTATGAAAAATAAATCCTAAAAATTTGATTCAAAAAAATTTTTTCTTAATTTTATTGCTAATAGATATTGAAATAAATGTAAATGAATCACTGGATTCTTATAATTTGAATATCGTACAGGAATTAAGAGTTTGAAAATACATGAATGAAACATATAAATCATTTATATAAAAAAAAATTTGATCCCCTAAAGGCGTTCTCATTCTACCCATTAAAAGAAATTGTTGCAGTCTAATTTTTTTTACCCTTTTATTTGTGATATTCACCTGAATTATTATTGGAAACGATACGGTTTGAACTGTAGGTTAGAATTTCTGATTCTTACGTAAAACAATAAAAAGAAAAATATCGTTCAAATGACAAAATTATATTTTATTCACTACTAAAGAAGTTTAAGAAGTATTTATGGGATCTCAATATCTCAAAGATGTCATATTTCAAAAATAAACTGATCAACTTGGTGAATGACAAAATTAAAAGGGAAAAAAAAAGAATTCTGAAAATTTATCAAACAGCAGCAGTCGCTTTAGCGGCGCATGCAATGACGACGCATTGGCACTGTTTACTATTACTCTTGAACACAGTTGAAAAGTGTGATGACGTCCAAATTAGGTGCGCTGGCCATCAAACCTAAAACAACACCCATGTTAACAATGGGTAATAAATTCAAGTGTAATGTGAAATATTTTTCATAGAATCTTGAAAAACATTGAGATCGGTCATAGAAACTTAAATTTCAGGATCACAAGCGCATTTTGATTTAATTTGTATTAATACTTTACTTTTTTATCCTATAATATTTTTTCGATTTTATCTCTATTTTTATATTTATTTATTCTTTATTTTTTTGTTATTTTTAAGCTCTGTAAAAGTGTGCTTCTTTACTGACAACTGCACATTTTTGTGTGTTAAACATAAAAACAATCGATTACATATTATCTTACACTAACTTGAAAATCCTTTTGCAGCTAATGCTAGTTATTTTATCCAAGTTTTGTTCTAAATAATTAACTCCAAGTAAGGGTTTTGGAAAAAGTAATAACTTAAAATAAAATTTTTGAATTCATATATTTAGGTTTATTCAATAAAGAGAAATCTTTTAATGCTTTAATAAAAGTATTTCATTTCGTTCCGAATAGATGAGATACATTAGAACGGTTTATCATCTACAGATAGGAAAGCCTTTCAGACAATTTCTAAGCCAAAGAAGCATTAGCCGTGGAACTCTTATTAACAAGGGTGTCGTTTTATTCCGATTTGAATGCTGTCTTGGTCGCCGCGAGGCTCAGATAAGAGAGCCTCAAAAGTGCAATAATATGTCCAATGATCTGTTGTGCAATTCCGTTGCAAAGATCATCTGCTATTACTAGGAGGGAATTCAGGTTTGTTGAACCGAGAATTAGATTTGAGATAACGTTTTGAAGATGTAATTATGTCGATGCTAATAAAAGGTTGTCAGGAAAACCCTGAAACGTAATTTGAAGAGGGACTTTCAGTTTATGTAATGAGTGATATAACGTAGAGAGAGCCATCAACATCTGTTGCGAAATTAGAGAGTAATATTTTGATGAGGATTTGGTCAAGAACATTGAATTAACTTTAATATACTATCCACACATTCATACCATACTAGGTTAATGTTTCATACTAATATACACTGTAGAAACTTATGGTAGAAAGTACTAGAAATCAGGGTGTCGGTACTTTTTGCAGTTAAATTCATTTTGCATTGGAGCATGCTACAGAACACATAATGTGATATAGTATAATTTTTTAAGCAATAATTAACAACAAATCACTGAAGTCCTCTAATTAAAAAAATATTACTGTAAAAATTACGTTATAATATTCTACGGTAAAAAAGGATTTTGCGGTTGATGCACCATAAGGGCAGTTACTGAAAAAATACCATATATTGTACTGTATACTGTTACTGTACTTACATACACTGTAGAAAATTACAGTAAAAAGTACCACAAATCAGGGTGTCGGTACTTTTTGCAGTTAAATTCATTTTGTATTGGAGCATGCTACAGAACACATAATGTGATATAGTATAATTTTTTAAGCAATAATTAACATAAAATCACTAAAGTACTTTAATTAAAAAAATATTACTGAAAAAATTACGTTATAATATTCTACGGTAAAAATGAATTTTACGGTTGATGCACCAAAAGGGCAGTTGCCTTATATCATAATTTAACTGGCTATTTTTAAATGCTTCTTTATCTCAAGTACTTTTTCTATTTTTTTACACATGATAAGACAAAATGTGATGATGTATCTATAACATGTTTAGGTTAAAGATTACCGGCAACAACAATGCTGTGTTAATTGTATGTACTTTGGTTTGATTTCATATCTTTATTTAGTTTTTATTGTTCAATCCTCCATCCATTTCTTAAAAATTACTAAATAATTTGAGATTTTATTCGTTTGCCAATTTCTCTTTGTTTATATAAATTGTCTTTTCAAACTCAAAATGCACAAGAACAAACATGAACCTAGCTGAACTCTCCTTGCTTTAGGCAGAAACTATTTCCTCGAAAAATAATAAGACGAATTGTTCTTAAGAAAACTGAAAAAATTGGGAAAAAATCAAGTAATTCGCAACTTATTATTACTGTGCACACAATATCATCTCCTTTGGTACTCCAACTAAAAAGTACAGTCCAAAATTTGTCATAAAATTTTTAAAAAAAGCATTATACTTAACGTTATCAAAATAAGGGCATAAAAATAACGTTAAAATTTTAAAAAAATAAACGTAATCCAGCTTCAAACAGTATAGCAAAAGCAAAAAAAAATTGTAAATGCAAACAAAGAAAAAGTAGTACTATAAAAACTTTTAGAATTAGTTAATTTAATGTTGCTTTTTTCATATTACACTACATTAAATAAAAAATGCAATAAAATAAAACCTATTTATCAACAAAATAGATTTAAAATGAAAATATAGTAAATATATAATTTAGTAAAAATATATTAAAAGAAGACAAAAGGAAATATTTTCTAGTAGCAATAACAGTAGGCATATTTTGATCAACAAACTTATTTTTGCTTTAAATATCATACGAGAACATCCATAACTTTTTTTTACAAACACAAAAATTATTAAAAATACAAATAAAAATGGTATTTTTTTATTATTACTTATATTAATGAGAAAGACAAAGTTGAAATTCTACTAAAAAAACTAACACAACAAATAGTCTACAAATCTTTTTTAAAAAAATGCAGAAGTGTACTTAATTTGAATCTTTAAGAGAAAAGTTTTATGAAAAAAATGAAAAAGGAGAACAAAGCTCTACTAACACAAAAAAAATATTTTAAACTACACTCTTATTTTAAAAAAATAAAAGACAATATTATTTTTTATTACATCATTTTTTTAGCATCTTGGATACATATAACTCATTAAGTTGAATTCCAATTCATCAAAAAAAAAAATTAATCATTAATCACGGGTACCCATTAACTTGAAATCAAATACTGTATATGATTATACACTGCTGAGCGACACTATAAATTATTAATATTGATTTACGAGGGCATTTTAATTGCTTTAAATTATTTTCCCTCACTCGAAAAAACGCCTTTTTTTTGTGTATCCCCTAAATTCTCCAGTTAAAAGAAAAAAGCCCAGAATAATGGATGGCTCTTATTCGGANATTTTGTATCAAAAATGTGTTTTTGTCCTCTCATCTTGGAAAATATAGGTTTTTGCCACTTTTTGGAAATTTGCTTGGCAAAAACCTGTTTTTGCCAGGACGGTTTTTACCGGTATTTACCATGGTTCTTTCCACCTGCGGCAAAATCTTGCCAACCCTGGCCTTAAGTAATTATGTTCAGTAGTTTAGTTCCC